CATACATGCATGTGTGTATGCATGCACAATACATTATGCATGCATACATACATGCATGTATGTATGCATAGTATGAACATCTCATTATAAAAATCATACGTCAATGCACATGTCAGACTGATGGAGCGAGACAATCTAATGAGGATGCATGATATGTTCTGATAATGCACTAAATCATTAACGATGCATTGTGCTGTGCATGATACATTGCTGTGTAGCGTCGCATCCAATGAATTACCAATATATTGGTATCCCGTTGGCACAGGATTGGGAATTACAATGGTCAATTGTCTCTCCGGAAATTTCAATAAAAGTTGGAGTATTTTTTTGTAATAAATGTCTTTGAAACTGGGAATGGGTTTTGCTAGGGAGGGGCTGGAGAGGCTGAAATAGTTATCAGCTATTTTTGCGTAATAATTAATTTTTATTTTAGACGGAAGCAAAAAGGAGTCGAAATGGTAAATTATTCTCGCATTTGCTGCACGATACATTTGAAAACATACAATCCAATCCAATCCAATTCAATCATATTCAATCTAATTCAATTCAATCCATTCCATTTCAATCCAATCCAATTCAATTCAATTCATACATGGAGGGCTGATGCTACACTGTGTAGTGCGTTAATATCGCATAAATAAAATAAATTAATAAATAAAATAAATTAATAAATAAAATAAATTAATAAATAAAATAAATTAATAAATAAAATAAATTAATAAATAAAATAAATTAATAAATAAAATAAATTAATAAAGAAAATAAATTAATAAAGAAAATAAATTAATAAAGAAAATAAATTAATAAATAAAATAAATTATTATATTCACTTCATTACCGTAAACATTTCCCCAAAACAATATATTTATTTGTACGGCATCTGAACAGTTGTTTAATACACTTATTATTGATCCCGGAAAACGAATGACGATTGGTTTGCATAGGACGCTCACAAATGACATTATTATTATTATTATTATTATTATTATTATTATTATTATTATTATTAATAATTTGCATTGTTGTTTAAATAAAGACTATGAACATTGTTCAATAATTATAAACTGATTCGAAATAACGCCTATTGGTTTTTACAATAATTTTAATTTGTCACTGTTTAAAGTTCCATGGCAGCTATCATTTAATGATAAATTGATAAACACTGTTATAAGATCATCGTATGACATTTACTGTGATAGGAACAAGTTATGATGCTAATTAAATATATTTCACCGTTCTGCACTTAACTTCACAATGAGCAAAATGGTCTTAACCTTTAATATTATTTTATACAATTTTTAAAAATTTTATCATTGCGCATTATTTAATTAACATTAACTTATATATATATATATATATTTATCATTGTATGTTTTTTATGGTGAAAAATAAAAGATGTTCCTATTATACTACGATACTTCATTCCAACACAAATTCAATTTGAACTCCGCAACTATAATTTCTCGCCAACATGGATATCGTCCAACCTAGATAACCTGATCGTAAGTAAAGTCAGGGAGTGGCTCTCGATGCCGATCAGCGGATGTGTAGCGGAGATACTTTCACTACCAATGAAACTCGGGGGTAATAACATCATGTCACTAAGAGACACTGCAGAAAAAACAAAAATGAAAGTTCGCAGCTATTTAAAGAACAGCGATAATGAAGAAATTAAATGCTTATGGCACGAAACCTCTTCAAACTTTGTCAAACCTGACAGTTCGCTGAAAGAAACAGGCTCATTAAAGCGATCTTTCAAACTCCTTGATGAATCCCGAGTGAAGTCATGTCTCAACCACATTATCGAACTTCAATCTCAAGGTACAGTGCTCAGGTCAATTAGTGAACTTATTACTCTGGCACGGATAACTTGTTGGTCGAAAATTGTTGACAACATGTCCGGGATACATTACAGATTTTTGAGGAAATACATAATTCAACAACTGCCCACAAATTCAAATCTGGTCAAATGGGGCAAAACCACAACTCTCTTGTGCCCACTGTGTAACGTTCGACAAACAAACAAGCATGTGGTGTCAAATTGTGGTTCAACATCAGCTCTGAAAACATACACAGATAGACATAATAAAGTACTGGCGTTGATGATGGACGAGTTGAAGTTACAGGCTCCAAACGATTGCTGTTTGTTTGCAGATTTGGAAAGGGAAGGCATTCGTCCAATGTCACTCCTATTCAACACGCTTCGACCAGACATTGCCATTTTGAGGGGCAACAAGATTGAAATATTGGAACTGACGATATGCCATGAAACTAATCTAATTTCATCGAAACAATATAAACAAAAATATAAAAATTTAAATGCATATCTAAATAAAGAATATAAAGATTGTTCTATAATAATTAATACATTTGAATCGTCGCCAATTGGTTTATGTAATAATTTTAATTTATCGATATTTAAATTTACATGGTCAATACCGTTCAACTTTAAATTAATAATAAACAATGTTATTAGCTCGTCATATGAAATTTATTGTGACAGAAACATTGCCTAATGCTATTTTAAATATAACTTACACCCATGCACTTGCCATTGGCAATGAGGATGGGTGGATCGTACATTTGATTATTTTTATTCCATTGATTATTTTTTTATTCTATTCATTTTAACATTTTAGTTACAATTTATTATCTTAATATCTTATAGTTTCATTGTGTCGATTGGATAAATAAAATATGTTCACATTATTACTATTATTAATATTATTTTTTTATTATTATTATTATTATAATGAAACCAGGGGCAAACATAGAAAGTGCCCCATTTGCATTATCCTCATATCTTGTGTATGTTTATTTTTGAATTTAACATATATAGGCCCAGCTGTACTATCTGCAGTATTTGTACTAATTTTAACTCTTTTTTCAAATGAAAATATATTGTTTCGGGGAAATATTCACAAAAGTTGGAGTGCGGCGACAAACGTTTTTTTTTTCAGATGAAAATATAAACATTGGAAAGAAAGAGCATTTGACAACTGCATCACCAACAAACTCATCACAACACAGCAGCAGCAACAACAACAACAACTACAACAACAACAACTACTACTACAACTACAACAGCAGCATACAAAGCACATGACGTAATGATTCATGTTGATAACCAGATGACCTCGCCACCTGACTCACCGGTTAGAATTACTTGCAAACCAGATTATTGCTTTTCAACTATGCAACTATAAACACACGCGCATAATCACACACACATACACAAACACACACGCATACAAACACACACACACACAGACAAACACACCCCACACAAACACACATAATATTTATAAAATATTAATACGAAATATATACTTGTATTTATTTATTTCAATTCAGTTTTTTTTTACTTACAACTTGGAACAAATGCGTGCAGTGGCGGATCAAAGCTATGGATCCAAGGGGGGGGGGTTAAGGAAAGAACTAGCCCTTCCCGTTGTGAGCAGCTTTTTAATAAGTCAGAAAAAGGACTTTTTGTGAGTAAAATAGACTAAAAAATAAACGTTATAAGCCATAAAAGGTCGTCAGCCATATTGTAACAAATCTTGGTCCCCCGTGAAAATTTGGCCCTCCCGTGAAACTTTAAATATTTTCAAATTTTTGCCCATTCCCCATCAAAGTTGTCTAGATCCAGCACTGCAAACAAACACGCGCGTGTCATGCTGTCTATGTTATCTGAACGCTGAACTAATATCATCGTGCGATGTTTTGTGATCATTGCTGACACGTGCGACAAATTGGAGGAAAGAATTATGGAAAGATGTATTGTACAGAGAGTGGAAACAAACCATGCTATTGAGTATCACGACTTCCCACTTCCTACGTAAAATGTTATCCACCGTATGAAGTTTAGCATCAGATCGTGAATACAATTTCTTCTACACTTTTCAAAGACCATTGCTTATTTTTCGTTGTTAAATTTGGTTAAGGAATGAAAGCACTTAACGCTCATACGCATCATTTCCAGTTTTTTTTACTTTTGAAAAATCTTTTGTTCGGTACAGACAGGCCTTACATTCACGTCAGCTGGATTGCTTTTGCAATGAACTGAAAATGACATAGCCTTGCAGTTCAGTGCTGTAACAATTGAAATTCAGGCTTCATGAAGTTATTCATTTCTTAGCTGATTACAAAATTCATTTCTTAACTGGTTAAGAATAAGAATAACATGAAAATAAAATAAGTTAAAGAATTTGTTGAGTGACAAAACCAACCAACCAACCAATCAACCAGACAGCCAGCCAGCCAGTCAGCCAGCCAGCCATCCATCCAACCAACCAACCTACCAACCAGCCAACCAATCAATCAACCAACCAGCCAGCCAGCTAGCTAGCCAGCCAACCAACCAACCAACCAACCAGCCAACCAACCAACCAACCATCCAACCAACCAACCAACCACTTAATTTAGTTCTAAAACGTTATCTCGAAACACCAACAAACACATCAATAAAATGTGTACTGTGGCAAAAAATTAAATTTTGAAGAACTTGAAATTTTTAACTGATTTTTCTTTCAGCGGCTTTACAGGCAGCGTCGAAAGGACAGGCGCAGTCAAAGAAGAATAGGGATGAAGTGAATAACTTTGCTAGGGTCTACGCATTTTTTAAATAGATTACTGTTTTAGATTTCTCACAATTGTAAAACTTGCCAAAATTGTATGAAAAACGCAGAAAAAAGTAGAAAAATATTTATGGCTACACCACTGGAGTTAAAACATCAACTCAAAACGACAAAAAAGGCTAATGGCTAAAACGCTAAGCCGATGGTTAAAACGCTAAACTTTTTGAAGGGCGTCTAGACAGATGTTGAATTTTAAATTATAACAATTGAAGAATCTAGATAATTGATTTTAATACCTGATGAATCTTTTCATCCAGCCGCACATAAAAAAAATGTTTATGTAAAAATCAGAAACCTACATTTACTAATATGAAATTAAAACTCTCTAGCGATCGAATCAAAATTTAAAAATATAAAATTGAATTATTTCCACTCACCAGGTGTAAGGTTGTTAGTTAGTTTGGCGCCATTTTCAAGGGTCCTCGCTCGGCACGTTTTGTTGGCAACATTGCTACTGACGATGATGTTTTCGCCTGTCACATCCTTCTTTGTCTCATCACTATCATCATTTTCATCATCATCATCATGGTAATAATCATAATCATCATCATTATCGTCATCATTATCAACATTTGTGGTGGTTGTATCATCCAACTTGACGTCGGCAAAATATTTGTTTGCAATAATAAGTGGTCGTTGTACGTTGTAGCTTTTTTTGTCGTTGCTGATAATGTTGTTGTTGATGTTATTGTTGATGCTGTTATTGTTGATGTTGTTGTTGATGCTGTTGTTGTTGTTGTTGATGTTGTTGTTGAAGTTGTTGTTGCTGATGTTGTTGTTGTTGATGTTGTTTTTGATGTTGTTGATGTTGTTGTTATTTTGGCTGATGTTGGCACATCTTTTAAATAACCTGCTGCCGCTAACACTGAATTTTTTATTCTGTTTGCTTATCCTGACATGTTGGTTCAATGATTTGTGGTCGGAGTTATGTAACATGTTGATGCTGGTAGTGGTGAAGTTGTTGTCGTTGTTGTTGCCGCCGATGCTGTTGTGGTTTTGTTTAGTGTTACTGGTGATGTTGTTGCTCTCTGGATGACTGCTAATGCATGTTGTGGGATTGTTGTCTCTATAACAACTTGTGACGACATCCAAGATGTTGTTGTTATTGTTGATGTTGTTGTTTTTGTTGTTGTATGTTACCAGTTTCAGGTTAGAATTTAAAATATTGTTGCAATTGTTGTTGTTTTTTGTGTTGTTGTGCGTGTTAACTTCTTGGCTGTTGTAGTTGAAGGTGTGTTTGTAGAGGTAAGGGTACAAACTTTTGTGCAGTCTGTCCAGCAGCGTTCCTGTGTTTGTTTTGCTGCTGCTGCTGCTGTTGCTGCTGATGATGACGTCATCAAAAGTTGAGCATGAGACGCTGCTGTGGATGGCTGTTGTTGTTGTTGTTACTGAAGCGCTTGTTGTCAAAGTGGTTTTTGCTGTTTTCGATAATGCTGCCAATGTGGTAGCTTGTATATGTGATATTGTCGTTGTTGAAGTTGCTGCTGTTGCTACTGTTTTTGTGTTTAACGTGTTTGTAATTCTATGCTCTGTAATGTTGTAGTTGTTGTTGATGTTGTTGTTGTTGGTGTTGTTGTTGTTGATGTTGTTGCAAGCAATCTGCTCATGATCATCAGTTCGCATTTGAAAGTTGTTGCTCATTAAATTCTGCCTGAGTGTATGACTGCGACTTTGTTGACCAACAGATATGTTGTTGTTGTTGTCTGAAACTATAGTATCGTTGTTGCTGCTGTTGTTGTTGTTGCTGCTGCTGCTGATAAGAAAGTTGTTGCTGATGTCCTTGTACTTACGGTTCCTGTTAAACTTAGTGATGTTCGACAGATTCCAGTTCAATTTGATGTACCTTCTGGCAAAAGAATAGAAAAGTGAAATGAGTATGGACACAAATGCAACAAAACTGCAACTGTAATGTCATCATCATCATTTGTTACTTGCTTCCTATCCATCGTCACTTTCATCCTACCTTAGGACATCATAAACTGTCTGATGCTATCAACATAACCTCATAACCACCATCTATCACCATCAACATGAAGCAACAGTATCATAACTATCATCATAATCATACCTCCAATCACGTGATACGCGGGCATCGTTAGTCGTGACGTCATAGTGGTGCAGCGAGGTCGTACGCAGGGGAGGTCTTCGCGGGGGTTCCTTCATGACGTCACTCCAGTTTGTTGTAATTGATGTTGCGGTTGATGTCAATGTAAATGTTGTTGTTGCTGAAGTGGTAAGAAATTTAGTCGTTTCTGAAATTGTTATTGTTGACTTCGACTCATCTGTAACGCGTGTTGTAATTATTGTTGTTATTGTTGGAGTAGTAGCAGTTGTTGTTGTTGATGTAGCAATAGTAGCAGCAGCAGAAGCCGAAGCAGTAGTAGCGTTTGTGTAAACTTTCGTCTCGTCTACCTGACTCGCTAATTTATTTAGATCTTGAATAAAATTTTCAAATTTGAGCCCGCCATCTGAAGACAACTCATTGTTGTGCTGTGGGTCGTCTTTGTCGAGTCGGCTCATCTGACTTTTCTTAGTTGAGACGTCGTTCGTCATGCCATTGTGTGGTCTGGCATGAGTATTGTTTGGTTCGTTTATATTATTATTAATATTATAGCTATAATAATAAAAATAATTATTATTACTATTACTATAATTACTAATAATACTATTGTTTTTGTTGTTATTGATGTTATTATTATTATTATTATTATTATTGTTGTTGTTATTGTTGTTGTTGTGTTCGTTTTTTTTATGGTCATTGTAAATATTGTTAACATTTAAAACCGCGTTACTGTTTCTTCTGCTAGTGCAAGTAATAACGCTGCTGTTATAAACGTTATTATTATTATTATTATGGTTGTTGTTATTGTTGCTGTTGTTGTTGTTGTTGTTGTTGTTATTATTATGATTATTATTATTATCATAATTTATAGAGCCTTCATCGTCATGCGAGCTCTGGCCCAGATTGTAGAGCGTGGAGTTAGTTGGTTGCCTATTTGAACGTTTCAATTCAAATGTAGTTACGTTATTGTTGTTGTTGTTATTGTTGTTATTGTTATTATGACTGTTGTTGTCATTGTTGTTGTTTTTGTTGTTAGTGCTTTCGAAGTCAGTTAGTGTAATGTTGATGTTGTTGTTGCTGTCTGGATTGCTACTCATTCCGACATTTTTACTTTTATTGTTATTGTTGTTGTTGTTACTAAAATTGAACATATTATTTTTCTCTAGACAACTTTCTTGGTATCTTGAATTTGATTGGCGGTTATTTATGGACTGGTTTCCAATTATGTAATGAGAAATTTGGAAGTTCCTGACGGATGGTACCGTGGTGACGTCAGAGTTTATAAGCAGATGTTTGTTGTTGTTGTGGTTGTTGTTGTTGTCGTTGTGGTATGCATGTTGATGTGTGTTAGCGTTGTTAATGTTGTTGTAGTTGATGTCCATGGCGTTTGTTTTGTTGCTAATAGCGTCGTTGTTTAAGTTGTTGCTGCTACTGCTTCCAAAGTCCTTTTCACTAAAACTTAGGCTGTTGATGATGTGTTCATTGTTGTTGTTGTGCTCATTGTTGTTGTTGTTAACCTTATTGTGGTTAATGCAATGAATGTCATTTGGGTTGTTGCAAAAACTGTCGTTGTTGTTGTTGCTGTTGTTGTAGCAGCTCTGGGAGACTTTGCAGATATTGTTGTTGCAGATTTCAAGCAAGTTGTTGGGGTTTATTTCGGTGTTTGTTGGATTTTTTAAAACTTCGTTCGTCTCATTGTATTTTAAATGACTCTTCAAGATATGGTTTGTACTGTTTACATAGCTGTTTACAAAATGCTTCACGTTACTTACACTTACGTTCACACGGTTGTTCACATGTTTGTTCCCATGGTTGTTCACATGGTTGTTCACATGGTTGTTTACATGATTGTTGACATGATTGTTTACATGGTTGCTTACATTAATGTTAATAAAATTGTTTACGTTGTTTGTTTTGTTCACAGCTATGTTCTTGCAGTTGTTTACAAAATTAG